CTTCTGAAGACAAGCTGTTCCATTGGGTTGATTGTTCTCACGGTTAGAAAATTTCTCCTTAATTCTAGGTTGCTTCTCTTCTTGGATGGATAGTTTCTATCTACGAATGGTTTCTACCCATTGTTTCACATGATCTTGATACTATACTTCCTGGACATCAACTGGAAGTAAATCTTAAGAGCTCTAGGAACGTCTTGTCATCAAATTACAAAAATGAAATACAAATAACATAAACTCCTTCTCGGAGGTTGTGGAGGCTGCACGAGAGCACACTGCATTCCCCCTCAGCCTCCCAAAATTGTGCAAGAATGGGGCATGCTTTAGAGCAAGGGTAGTCAACCTTTTTATACCTACCGCCCACTTTTGTATCTCTGTTAGTAGTAAAATTTTCTAACCNCTGATCCACAGGCAATTGCTGATAAGCCTGGACCATATTTAATTTGGCAAAAACACACCCATGCCCCAGCGAGTGCAATAAGTGTTGCACTACCAGAACAGGATATGGGTGCAAATTCAGAACCTTATTAATGGTTGATTTATAGTCTCCACATATCCGAATAGACCCATCAGCTTTAATAGGAGTAACAATGGGGGTTTCCCATCGCGAATAATCAACGGGTTCAAGGATTCCTTGCGCTACCAATTTGTCGAGCTCGGCCTCGACCCTGGCTTTCAGAGGAAAAGGAATCCTTCTGGGCTTTAACCTTATTGGGGAACATTAGGGTCCAGATTCAAAGAAATAGGGGTGCCCCTGTAGTTACCCAAGGTATTGTCAAATACATCAGCAAATTCTATTGTTAAGTTCTCAAAGTCATTTGTGCTGGAAATAGAGTTCACGCCGTCAATGGACAGTCCAAGAGGCTGGAACCAGTCGAGACCAAGCAGTGTAGCCAGTGGTTTGGCTACCACGACAAGGGGCAGTTTTGTTTTAACAGACTTGTATTCGACGAGGACCAATGCTAGACCTAAGACGGGAATCAGGTTCCCTTGATAGTTGCGCAGGCGGCAGGTACAGCCTTGGAACTCATCTCTGGTAATTGAAGGAAGTAATTGTTGCAGGGAAGACCAGGATATAATTGATTCAGTGGAGCCGGTGTTGATCTCCACTCGACAAAGTCTCCCCTCAACGCGAAGAGTAATGAAGAATTTGGAGGTTTTTGGATCTTGTTCGGATGCCGATTGGATGTTCCAGTCATCGGTGTCTTGTTTCACAGCCAAAGCAGAACAGCGGAGGACTAAAAGAATGTTGAGGCTTGGCTAGCCTTTTGCCAGGAGCCCAGTCCCCCTGACAAAGTTGATCTGTCAAATTTGCGCGGCAAACAGCAGTTATGTGGCCGAGGCGGCCGCAACGCCTGCAGACCTCCTGTTTAAAACGGCAGGTAGAGCGGAGGTGTTTGCCTCCACAGCTCAGGCAGCCCACACCTTGCGTTTTGGCAGGCTCGGTCCTGAGGTAAATTTTTGATTGTTTGCCAATTTGTTCACAATCATCCGAGTCGTCATAGTCCTGGCCAACTTGGTGGGTGACTGAGGAAAAATTAAACTGAGGACTAGCGCCATTAAGTCTTGTGTGAATCTGAGCGATAGACTTTTCAGCAAGCTCCACGGCTCTAGCCTCATCCACAGCGGCTTGTAACGTTAACTCTGATTTAGCCAAGAGCCGGCGCTGAAATCTAATATCTCTAACCCCACACACAAATTGCTGCAACAGGGCATCGTCTAGCTCTTTGAAATTGGAAGGAATTGCCTCTTGGCAAAGGGTAGCCATATATTGGCAGACAGATTCATCTTCTCGCTGCATACATTGCCTAAAAGCACGCCTGCGAGCTATTTTAGATGGTGCAGGGGAGTAATAGTGTTTTAATTTAGTTATTAGCACATCCCACGGAACGGTATTCACAGGCATTGGAGCTGATAGCATCCTGGCCATACTGAACATTTCAGGTCCACATGCACTGAGGAAAAATCCTCTCTTCCTATCTTCTGTCACCTCAGCGAAATCATGGGCCAGTAAAAAACATTTGAACCTCTCCAAAAATGCTTCCCATGACTCCTTATGAGCGGAGAAAGGAGTGAAACTGGGAATAGCAGACATTGTAGCGATCGTAAAACCAGTAAATAAAGCTGAGGAACTCAGTGAATTTGTTCCTACTCCTTGTCGCCAGTATTAAATACTCAGCGTAACATGAAAAGATTGAGGCGATCTTTCTGGAACAACACCCTTTATTGGTTAACTACAACAATCTAATGTGAACAGAACAGAGAACTCTGGTTTGACAGCTATTTATAGTGCAGCTATCAAACCGGCAACCAATCAGAACAACGCTAGCTCCCGCTGATGACGCCCACACGAACCAGCCAATCATGGCACCTGCTGGTGCTGATTGACACTGCGTGGTCACCATGGCTCGGACACAACAAATAGTATTATTAAGTGAACAGGGCTACAGTTATAAAGAAATTAGAAGAAAAACTGGTGGAAACTTAACCAAATGTGGCATTTCTAAGTTTTTGAAGACATATAAGGAGACTCAGTCACTACAAAACCACTCTGGTAAAGGCAAAAAAAGGTGCACAACACCAAGTGATGATAGATGAATTAAGAGAATGTGCCTATGTGACAAGAAAACCATCTGGAGGTATACAAGATGAAATGGCGCAATGCAATGTGAAGTTGAATGCAAGGACTGTTTAATGCAGACTGCAGGAATTTGGCCTAAAATCTAGAATTGCACAAAAAAAAGCCACTTTTATCTCTCAAACAAAGGTTGAAAAGACTAAACTGGGCTAAAACCCATGTTACGTGGACAGAGGATAATTTTATGGTATTACTTCAAAAAAAGTGGTGTTATTAGCCATCAAACAATACTGTATACACTTTTCCCAAAAGGTTTCCACAATTTTGGCCACTACTGTATATGGAGAGCTGTGATTTAGAACATGTCACTAATAAACTCCTATCCTCATAGTTCTTTATGCCTAAATTTTCTTCTGTTAATTTCCCAACTACCCCACAGTATCTCACACAAATCTTGGGGATCATCAATTCATGGAATACTTTCAGTCTGCAAAATTTCAGAAACCACTAGGTGACAGCAAAGATCTTTGAGTAACTCTCTGTTGCCATCTAATGGTCAATCCCATTTTTCCAGTCTGAACTTTCTGGTTGTGGAGTAACAGGACATATGGGATTAGCTGATGTAATAATTTTGGGGGATTTGTATACAGATTTGCCTGGAGGATAGGAAGGCTGGGCTGAATACTAAATCCATCTTCCTAGTCCTTTCTTTTGCATTGGAAAATATTTGACAGGAGCAGAAAATTGCAAATTTTTGGAATAATCAGATGGATTACTAGGAAAAAACTTTGCAAATCTATTTTCAAATCTATTTTCTGGGCTCAACCCACCATTGAAAAATTATTTTTGGCTTACATTCTGCCAAAACCCAAAAGTTTCTTTTTATAGATTTCAGCTTTGGACAAGTTACTCTCTCACATACACCAGCCTACCTCACATGCTTATTGTTAGAGTGAGAAAAAGGCTAAATGTTTTGAATGAAAGATATAAATTTAATACGTAAATTAGTCAACACAGGGAATTGTTGGCATGTGTCCCACTGGAGTATGACATTTTGAGATAGCTAATGGATAATTAGGGACACAGTGGCTAAGACACTGAGCTTGTCGATCAGAAAGGTCAGCAGTTAGAATCCCTAGTGCTGCGTCATGGAGTGAGCTCCTGTTACTTGTTCCAGCTTCTGCCAACCTAGCAGTTCGAAAGCATGTAAAAATGCAAGTAGAAAAAGTAGGAACCACCTTTGGTGGGAAGGTAGCAGTGTTCCGTATGTCTTCGGTGTTTAGTCATTCCGGCTCTTTCAGCTTTGAAACAGAGATGAGCACCGCCCCCTAGAGTTGGGAATGACTAGCACATATGTGTGATGGGAACCTTTACCTTTAATGCATGACCACACTTTGCTCCCTCCATCTCCCTCCGTGTCAATTTTATTTTAACTGAATTTTTAAATTTAAATCCCTATTTATTGCTATAATGCTTTATAATGTATATTTAATTGAATGACTGTTAAGCTACAGAATCACCTTTGGCAAAATGAATAGCATGTAAATTTCATAATAAATAAATTGCTGTAACCATCCCAAAAATTCAACATGGTCAAGTTAACGAAATTCAATGATTTTATTTTAAAATAAAGACAATGTCCTGGTAAATTGGACTAATTGATCTTTTAGGTCCCCCTCCTGGTCTAAGTAACCTCCTTATGTAACAATTGTGGAACTTTCCATATCTATTAGGAATACAATTCCCAGAATTCCTAGCCCGGCTGTATTAACCCAATGATTACTACATTTTTTTTAAAAAAAACCTATTTTTTCAATTCGCAATATGCTGCTCCAGGGCTCAAAACTAAATATTGGCCTACGCATCTGCAAAAGACAACAATTCAACAAAGGAACGAGGTAAACAATACACACTTCCTATTGTATGAGGGACACGAACGGATTCGAGTATATGACCGGGCAAACATTTCCGGCGGTTTCTGATTGGTCCCGAATCGCGGGTGTTCGCCTCTCAAAGTTTCTCAACGTTCTATTGCCATGAATGAAAATAAATTCCGAACTTTTTCCTACCCACGTGACTTTCTGAGAACTCACGGAGGGCCGTTTTCGACCGACTATCGAGCTCCTCCGAAACTATCGCCGAAGTGACCCGATTCGTTTCCGAGACTCCCCGAAGCGAATCCGATCATTTCCGAAAGAGGCCATTTTCTGGGCCTCTCTAGTTGTTGCCACTCTAACCTTGACATCTCTATGATGAAACTGCTTTGTGGATCATCCCCCCTCCCTCCCCCCCCCGGATGGGTGGCTCAGGCGGGGAAAGCCTTTCAATCGTGGGCCGGAAATGCTTTGCGATTGCAGAGCGGAAGAGACTGGAGTTCAAAGGAGGCGGAGCTTGATTGATAGGCCTATAAAACCCCCTCGCAGCGGCTCAGCCCTTCTTTTTCCGCTTCCGGTCGCAGTATCGACAAGAGGGTGAGGTGTAGGCCGCGTGTTTCTCCAAAGGGAAGACGCTGCAGTGGGGGGCCCCAAAGAAATGGGGGAGAAGGACGGATTCTTGTGAGGGACTGTTAGAAAGGCGCCACATGGTCGAAAATATTAATCCGTCGTCTCCATGTGTTATGAATTCAGATGCCCAGGAAGACAAATGAATGTGCCCCCTCCCCCCTTAATATTCAATCTCAGATTTAAAGTTATTAAAAATGGATTCACTGAATCTCAGTGGGATTTATTTTTAAGGAATTACGCCTTGAGCTGAACGCTGTTTCTCTTAGGCTTAGGCTTCTCTTAGGATGTGGAGTGTTTCCTCCCGTTTTAAAACATGCCTTCGCGACTTTTGTAATGTTGGCAGTTAAATTACATATTAGGCGAGCGGATACCTGGTGGTCTGCTTCATTTTTTGTAGGGAAGCGTTTATTTTTTTTAAAGTAACATTTGCTTTAATGTGAATTCTTAGTTGGAAGGAAAATTATGGGAGAAAGTTACCCTTAAGTATTTATTTTCATACATACCACTGTTTCGGTTTTGCTGAAATATCTGAAAGGGAGTAAAATCTTGTAACGCTTATTGGCAGAGGATGCCTTTTATTCAAATTGTCAATTTTTTATGTTTCAGTTAGATTCTTCATTTTTAAAAATAATCTTCACAAGATGTTCAATTCTGGAGTCCTCAAATAGCATGAAAAACATGGGAATTGGGAATATAGAATATTGAGTTGGAGAAAACTACATTATTTTATATTCCTTTGAAAGACCTAGAAAAAAATTAAACTGCATAGAATATCAGATAGGAAGCATAAACTTGAAATGCAAGTAGCAGTATTGAATAGCAATATTCTGTATTGAAAGGAATAAGAATACTTGTTGGACTTCAAAACAAATCACTCAGTGCTGGGATTTTGAAATTAAATGAACTGAATGTTTGTTTGGTCTTTCCTTCCCAGGAATCCTGCACAATGTCTGCTCATCTGCAATGGATGATTGTTCGCAACTGCTCAAGTTTCCTTATTAAAAGGAACAAGCAAACTTACAGCACGGTGAGCCACATCTACTATCTTCAAAACCAACAGCCTTCTTGCAAATAATTCTAGGGTGTTGTTAGGCTTTCCTGGACTTTGAATCTACTTTTTTCCACATATATTTGTTTTCAAATAAATGATTCTGCCTTGAGCTTGCAAAACCTTTCATTATAAGTTACAAGGAATTCTAAAAGTGTTTTTCTTTCTTTAAAGGAGCCCAACAACCTGAAGGCCCGTAACTCCTTCCGCTACAATGGTCTGATACATCGCAAGACAGTAGGAGTAGAACCAGCTGCTGATGGAAAGGGTATTGTTGTAGTCCTTAAGAAGCGTGCAGGTGGGTATTCTCCGCTTAAATCAAATTCCTACTGAGCAGAGAAGGGGGAACAAAATAAGTTGGAAGCAACCTCAGAGGTCTTCTAGTCCAACCCTCTGCTCAAGTGGAAACCTGATATTATTCCAGACAAGTGGCTGTCTAGTCTCTTCTTGAAAGCCTCCAGTGATAGAGCACCACTTCTGAAGGCAAACCGTTCCACTGGTTAATTCTTCTCAATTTTAGGAAATTCCTCCTTAGTTCTAGCTTGCTTTTCTCCTTCAATATTTTCCATCCATTTTTTCCTGTCTTGCGTTCTGGTACTTTGGAAAATAGGTTGACCTCTTCTTTGTGGCAGCCCTTCAAATATTAAATCACTGCTATTACTCACTTTTAGTCCTTCTTTTCACTAGACAAACCCAATTCCTGCAACTGTTCATCACATGTTTTAGCATCCAGCTTCCCAATCATCTTAGTTGCTCTTCTTTGCACTCTTTACAGAGTCTATATCTTTTTTACAATATGGTGACCAAAATTGCAGTATTCTAAGTGTGATCTTACCAAGGCCTTATAAAGCATTACTAATACTAATTCATGTGATCTTGGTTCTATCCCTTTGTTAATGTAGCCTAGGATTGCATTGGCTTTTTTGGCTGCTGCCGCCCACTATTGGCTCATATTTAAGTGATTGTTTATTAGGGCTCCAAAATTTCTCACAGTTAACTGCCATTGAGCCAGTACCACCTATACTATGCCTGTGCATTTGGTTTTCCCAGCCTAAGTGTAAAATCTTACTTTTCTCCACATTGAATTTCATTTTTTAGGCAATTCCGGAAAGGATAGAAATAATGTGTTCTTGAGCCATAGATAATGCAGAGTGATGGAAGCTCAAAGGGCAAAAGAAGTTACCCAAGTCTGCATGTAAAGTGCAGAATTTATATTTACCTCAGTTTTGTGGAACCAGAAATAACTATTAGATTTCACAATGATTCTGAGCCATTCAAAAATACAACTTAACATGTCAAAAATGCTTCTAAATTAAATCTTAAATTTGCAAAGCAGTACCTAGAGAGATTTTCAGTCACCCAAGCCATGGTGGTCCCAAAGGTACTTTTTTTTTTTTTTTTTGCAAAGCAGCGCGTTTAAAATAGTTAACAATCTCTGGATAAACAGATATATTCTGAAATTCTCTTCCTACAATAAGATACGTTGGTCTACAACATGTAAAAACCAGCATTAACTGTAGATACCAAGTATATCTAGCAGGATCTGCCAACAATGCCCCATTAATAATCTATACTTCTGCTTCTCAGGCCAGAGAAAGCCAGCCACTTCCTATGAAAAAGTCACCATCAACAAGAATGCACGGGCCACTCTCAGCAGCCTCCGCTATATTATTTGCAAGAATAATTACCGCAAGGATCTGCGCATGGTAAGTCAGCCTCCTGGATTCTCACTCTGCAGAGTGGGGCTTGGATGAATATTACAGCTTCCACTAATCCAATTAGTACATAGTAGTGATTTATGGTAAACCACACTTCTCCGTCCAGCTAAAAAGGAATGCAAAATGCTAGTCTTTGTACCTAAATCCTAAGCCTTGGCATTGTTAAGGTATATACTGTATAGGAGCCATGGTGGTGCAATGCTTAGAATGCAGTATTATAGGCCGGTTCAGCTCTGCTAGGAGTTCAGTCCTCACTGGCCCACAGTTGATTCAGTCTTCCATCCTTCCGAGGTTGGTAAAATGGGGGCCCAGATTGTTGGGTGCAATATGTTGACTCTAAACCGCTTAGGGCTGTAAAGTATTTTGAAGCAGTATATAATTCTAAGTGCTAGTGCTATTTTCAAGTTATGGAGCAAACTCAAAACAAAAACCCTCCCACTCCTCTAATTTGTCCCAGGGTTTAGCAGTCTCAGCAGGTTGGGCCCAGTTGTTGAATAACCTGGAAGCGAAATCTTGTGTATTTTTTGTTGACTCAGCCAAATTTTTGCCCTTTTGAGAATGCTTAGGCACCCTGATAGTTGTGGGCATTTTATTGCCCATATCTCACTTAAGGGAGTTTAATCAGAATTGGTACACATACTGACAAAAAGGTGAAAAGCTTGATTCAGGGATGCTGTTAAATGAGAAAAAGAGCATAGGTATAAACATTAGGAAATCTGCATTTGAGGAGAGAAGAGATGTATCTGGAGTTCACTTTATTCACGTCCCCCTTTTTCCCCTCTCTCCTCCAGGCTGCCTTGCGTCGGGCAAGTGCAATTTTGCGCAGCCAGAAGCCCGTGGTGGTGAAGAAGAAGAGGACTCGGGCTCCCAAGACTGCATAAAAAACAGTTCTCAAATTATCTAATAAAAGAATACAACCAGAAAGCAGAATGTCTGAATGTAATTTATACATCTGTAGTCATGGGATTACTTCTCTCCTCCAAGAAAATGAACTGGACATTTCCATTTGTTTTGAGAATAGAATAAATATCTCAGAAATCACTATTTCTGTAATGAGATGGAATTTGAAAATTAGTAGGGATTTGCAACTTGAGTTTTGAGTCCCGCTTGTTTTTAATTATGTCTCACACCTTCCTTGATGCCACAGCTAGTTTGAATGGAAATGGTTTTGCTCCTTTTAGGAAGTCTGGCTCTAGTTTAGAGTCCTTTTCAAAATGTTTTCCTAGGATATGTGTAACAATCTGAGAAACCCTGGGTACTATCCATAGTTCCCTCTCACTTTTTTTCTTTTATCTTGCAAAGTTATGTTAACTATGAGAGTTGCTTTTTAAAAGCAGAAATCAGTTCATTTCCCTGTATATTGCCCATATAGGATAAGCATCAATGTAGGTTTTTTTGTTCCTCTTTATGACGCCTTGAACTAAACAACAACGACGCCGTGAAGAGGGAGGCCAGCTCCCTCTCAGTTGCTGGATGCAGTTAAATCAGGAAAACTAAATTTATCCTGATCACATTGGTGGTTAAATACCTGTGTTGTGGAAGTTACAATCTCCTGACTTCACTGTTTACAATGTGAGCTGCTTATATTCAATTATACAATTCCTGGTAAAGTGAACTCCCTTTACTGCTTAAACATCTTCCTTGCTATAGAAATATCTATTCCTCTGGAACTGAGCAGTTAAAAAATAGCATGTTAGCAGAAAAGGTGAAAAAAATGAAATGGATTAAGATCTTTACGTCACCTCTCACAGGGAGAGTGACATTTGAGATTTTTTTAATTGGCTTTGCAACCATAAGGTGGCAGTTAAGAGCTGAAGCAGATCTAGGCAGTTGTTTATTTTCAGTTTTATCCTTTTGCCCTAGATTTCAAGAGGTTGGATTTACGTACCATTGTCTATACTTGCCTCAGTAATTAATGTCGATGAGAAGCCTTCTTAGGGGACACAAATCCAAAGGAAACACTTTGTAGATGATGCACAAAAGTCAATGAAGAAACCTGATTGTTTTACTCTGTACCTATAAGTATTGGATGCACTTGGCTGTCTCATGCCATGGTAGCTCTGGATAGCTGCTGGGATATTCAAAAAAGAAAGATGGGCTTTCCAGTGGATAAACCTGTGCTGCTCTTCTATAGCATCTGTTTTTCTTCCTAAAAGCTACCAAGGTGTGACAGACCAACAATTGGACTGACTTGTTAGTTGTGAATTCGTATCCAACTCATTGCAACCCCATGGACAACATCCCTCCAAGGCATGTCCTCTACCATCCTCGAGTCCATTTAACCTCACTCCTGCTTCAGTGACTCCATCCAGCCACCTCATTTTCTGTCGTCCCTTTCTTCTTTTGCCCTCAGTCTTTCGCAGCAATAGACTTCTCCAGTGAGTCCTTCTCATTAGGTGGCCAAAGTATTTGAGTTTCATCTTCAGGATTTGGCCTTCTAAGGAGCAGTCAGGGTTGATCTCCTCTAGGACTGACCAGTTTGATGGCCTTGCAGTCCAAAGGACTCGCAGGAATCTTCTCCAGCACCAGAGTTCAAATGCCTCAATTCTTTGTTGCTCATCCTTTCTTAAGGCCATCAAACCAGCTTTCACAGCCATCCATTGCAACGTGGAAAACAGCCTTGACTATAGACACTTTTGTTGGAAACGTTGGACTCACTATGTGCCCTCAAAATTTAGCTGGCTGTAGCAAATTACCTTTGCAAGCCCATATGAGAGAATACAGGTGATCCTGAACTTATGACCACAATTGAGCCCAAAATTTCTATTGCTAAGTGAGACTTGTTAAGTGAGTTTTGCCCCATATTATGAACTTTCTTGCTCTGGTTCAGCAAATCTCTGCAGTTAAGTTAGTAACTCAGTTAAGTGAATCTGACTTCCCCATTGACTTTGCTTTTCAGAAGGGTGAAAAAGATGATCACATGACCTTGGGACATTGCAAACGTCATAAATAGGAGTCACTTGCCAAGCATCTCAATTCTGATCATGTGACCATGGGGATGCTACACTGGTTGTTTGGAGTTTGGAGTTGGAGTTTATTCAATTTGTAGGCCGCCCTATTCCCCGAAGGGACTCAGGGCGGCTGAACAAAAGCCAAGGGAGGGGAAATTACAAAAAGTAAGACAAAAACAATCGGACAATACAAACAATGTAAAAGCACAACAGACACAGCAAATTCGAGTGGGGGGGGGACTCAACCCCAGGCTTGCTGGGACAGCCAGGTCTTCACAGCCGTCCCGGAAGGCCCGAAGGGTGGAGAGGGTCCGAATCTCCACGGGGAGCTCGTTCCAAAGGGCCGGGGCCCTACAATGAGAACATTGTAT